GAATGCCTCACAAAAGTTTGTGCACGACCCATTGCGGACTCCCCAAATGCTTGCTTTAGCATTTCATAGGTTTCCGTAGCCGTTTTGGCGAGTCTTTGGCAAAATTTGATTTGTTCATGAAAATCCGCCATTCCGAAATCGCAGGAGGGTCGGTGTAATGCACTACCAAAACGCCCGTAACTAAGAAAGAAATGCTAAATCGATGATGTCGGCTGGCACACTGATTCACTATGAATGTAGGCCGCATCCCCTAGCGGCAGAAACTCGTCCTACTTCCGGTTCGCCCTCTATTGACACAGTCTTGAAACTTTCTGATCGCACCTCGTACAAGCTCTAGTAAAAATGACTAATACAGAAGATGGCTGTCTTCTGGGTTGTTGCGCTGTGTAGTTTGGTAGATTTCCACCGACGTTTCAGAGGTCCTTGCTGCTTCCGTCATCAGGGCGATGAATGTGCCAATCGAGCGGAAAAGGCCAGGCCAATAGGGACCGAAAATTTACCGGTGAGCCTGATCATAGCCAATCAGAGCAAATCAACGGTGGATGGGGACCAATAGGAGAGTGCGGGCGTGTCTAGCGATATACATTCATCGCCCCTGATGATGGAGGCAGCATGGACCTCTGAAACGTCGGTGGATATCTGCCAGACTACACGGCGCAATAGCCCAGAAGACAGCAATCTTCAGACTCACTGCTGTGAAAACCTCAAATCCTAAATGATTAATACAATTTTTTAACTTAAGTGTATCTCATTACCGATTTCTTTGTTTAGTCCATTATGATACAAATTTCTGTATGTAACTAGAATTTAAGCAGAGAGCAGATAAACACAAAACATTTTTACAAAGATTTACATTGTGTCAGTTTGAATGCATTCCACCAACAGGCTTAAATTCCCGTTGTACGTGCATGCAGTGGAGAAGCGTGTCTTTTGGAATGTGTCAGCCATATTGTAGTGATTCTACTTGTTTTTTATAGAGTATATCTGTTTTAGATGTAGTGAGATGCGCGTGAACAGTAGAAAGTTCTCGTGGAACACCCGGTGCTTTGTTTCCACGTGGAGATTCATGGCTCGCCTACCTAAACATGCACGGGTCATTTTTGACTCTGCTTAATTATGCAATTGTCATTTTTGACACGCGTGCTTAAAGTTCGTGGCGTTTTTCCCTTTAAAAAGCTAGCTTATTCCCAATGTTTTGCAATTAAAATCATAATGCGACAAAAGTTAGAGGACAGGCAGTCGTTGTTTGACATCCAAACTGAGTGGATGCAGGACACCACTATCTACGTCACGGCAGCTGCACCTTCGGGTCATTTTCAGGTAGGCTTTGGTATTATCTGAGTTTGTTTGAAGGAAAACCGAGACGGGATGTACTACATTGAGTAGCCAAATTGAAAAGAGTGAATGTTTACAAATTTAGTCTCCCCTGTTGGTGAAAGGGCTTTCTCAATCATTCTACACTTAGAATATCGGAGGAGTTTTAGAATAGAGAATTGTCTGCACCAGTATAATATCTGTAGGTTATATCGTAGTTCGTCTCTTTGTAGATTATGAGTTCTAGTTCGTAAGACATTAAAAGTGTGTGTGCAACTGCTGCTTCTGCAATACGGGGATCATAATAACCACATATAACACACAGTCGACGAAAGACTTCAAGCAAGTAATTAAAAGCAGAGGCAACAGTTGACGAGCTACCGGTCCTGATAGAATCTGATAGACACTGCCGACGACGCTTGAACAAGAAGACATTGATAGCTGGCGTGAATTGCTACTGCCACAGTGGAAGATCGCCTCTCTTGCGTCCTTGTTGCTCAGGGAGACCTCCACTCATCAGGTGGAACGGACCGAGAACCGTGCTTCCCTGAGGGCTGCCAACAACCGCCGCTGCGAGACGCCGCCTCCACTACGAAACCCGGTGCAGGACTTCAGAGTTCCGTCTCTGCTCGTCGTCAGAAGCCAGAGGGTGCCGAATACCGCCCATCACCACCCCAGAGTCTCCAGGATACCGCACATTTCACCATCTTCATTCTTCCAGGAAGAGTTCGGGGTCCCCTGTGAATTTATTCACAGCCAAGCACTTCCAGAAAAGGGTAAGCTGAGCTCAAATCCTCTTCCAACGCAAACTGTTTGTTGAATTAAGGGGGAGTTATTAAAAATTTCAGTGAATTGCAATATATGTTAGTTGGGGAAGTAACTTTAATAGAAAAGCAAATTTGCAAATAAACAATAATACAGTTTACGTTCCCTTCATTAACGTAAGAGTGTAAAC